ACCTAGAACAAAATTTGCCACTAGCTTTAGGACGTGGATTATATAAGTTGCCCCAGTAGACAACAACCAATCAAGACTTCACCTGGGCTATTCGAAGTTATAGATTAGGTATGCATGGTTGTATTGATCTTCTTACATGCGGCCAAGATAGGTGTTTTTTTTTTTTGGAAGAATAGAAGAAAACAAACCAATAAATATACACATATATACATATATATACAAACACACACGCATACATACACATACCCACATACATACACACACACATATATATACATACACACATATATATACACACACACACATATATATATATATATATATATATATATATATATATATATATATATACATACACACACATACACACACATACACATACACATACATATACATATATATACAAACAAAAAAACAAAAAATGAAACGATTTATTATATTGGCTTGTTTTGCGACTTTTTCTTTTTCTTCCTCTCCTTTTAACTTCTCTAAAAAAACAAACTTTATTTCTTTGATCTTTCTTTTCCTTTTTTACTTTCCTTTTTATTCTTATTTTTTTTCCTTTTCTTTTCTAAACCACACTTAATAAAATGTTTACAATAGAGTGATTAAAATGACTCTTTACAACTTTAAAAGCTAAGAGAAAAACATTTAACTAAATTCGCTTAAAAATAAATTAATCAAGCTATTTTACATGTTAAATACTAGTTTTAAAAAAAAACCCAAAACACGTGTAAATTTTAGATAAAATAAGTTACTCCTCCCGCTCAAAAAAAAAAAAAAAAAAAAAAAGGAAGGAATTCGTTTAAAAACTACGAGAAATAACATAACTAAAATTTCTTAAAATAAATGATCAAGATATTTACATGTTAAATAATAGTTAAAAGAAAAAATAGCGTGTAAATTTAGCTAAAATAAGTTACTCCTAAAAAAAAAAAAAATTATCCATGAAGGAAACCGAAAAAAAAATTAAAATTCCGTTTAAAGAAAAGGAAATATTACTTGTAGGAATATTTTTGTAATAAAATAAATCTACTCGGAAGACCAGTAAGCCGCAAAAATGAAGTCATTGCATATGAGACTGAATGCAAATCGAAAGATTGATTCTCGCAAGTTTCTCGTCATCTATATACACAAATTTCACATACATATATACTAATCAGCCTTAAAAGTATTTAGTGATGGCATTTGTAGCGTATGTACACCTGCATTGGGAACGTTCTTATTTTTTGTAGTTTTGGGCCACTCATTAGCCCTATTTATCCACAACCACCTGGTGGCCTTTTCGACGGACTCCAGGATCATTTGAATTGCCCGCCTTCTTTTTTGTCCAGTTATCCCTAGGCTAGTAAGGGCTCGTATCATTGACTGTCCGGCGAACCCCCTACAGCCGACCTCGACAGGGAAACAATGAGTGTGCCATCTTTTAGTTCTGCAATCATTTAAGAGTCCTTCATATATACTTTCTCTCAAATTCCTCTTGCATATGCTCTTCCAATGGGACAGTTAACTCCGGCAGAATAATCTGTTTTGTGGCGTCCGAATAAACGATTATGTCTGGACGGAGTTTGGAGGACGATATATGTGTTGGGAATTTCAATTGTTTCCCGAGATCGACTCGCATCTGCTCCGACGCGGACGATAACAGTGAATGGGATCCTGCAACCTTCTTACTCGGCTTTGCACCTGCTTTAATGAAACGGATAGCTCTTCTTTCTGGGATGAGTTTATTACTCCCCAAAGCTTCAGCAATAATGAATGCTATCGCCTCTAAAACCTCGTCATGACGCCACCGATAGCGCCCGTCTGTCAGAGCTGTTTTGCACTCGCTTAATATGTGTTGCAGTGATACCCTCCCCGAACACAAGGGGCACTTTGGTGACTCTATTTTTCCCCATAGGTATAGGTTGGTCGCGCTTGGTAATACGTCGTACACCATCTGAACCAGGAATCTAGATCGGCTGAAGTCGGTATTCCAAAGATCTGACCACGACACTTTCCGCCGATCTACACCTGGTCCACGCGCCCTGCTGGCCATAACCTGCCATTTTTGTCATCCACTTTTCCTCCATCCCTGCTCTTACTTCGTCCTGTATCAGGTGTTGACGCTCCTTCACGGTGCTTTTTCCGAATTTGTAGGAGGGAATCAACCCCAGGCCTGCTCTGCCCTGTGCGACTGAACCCATTATTGTTTTTACCCTCAGATTCCCTTCTGCGATAGCTAGTTCCTTAGTAGCACTCCATTTTCTGCCTGTCTTGATCTCTATTCCCGCACCTGATACTTCGGGATCTCTGGAGTTTCTATAATGGTAGCTTTCCCTTGTCTGTGACACCATGAACTCCTCAACTAGTCCTCTGAATGGCAGCTGGATGGCATTGGATGATCCATATAACGCTGCACTGCTTAAGCACCGAGGTAATCCTAACCATCTACGGAGGAAACTGCTAGCTCTTCTCTCTAAAGTCTCCACAGTCGAGATGGGAACGCTATATGTCTGGAGTGGCCATAATGCTCGTGGGAGCACACAGTGATGGTATAGCCAGGTTTTGAAACGCCCTGGCAATCCAGATTTATCTATTTTCGCCAGCCACGAGTCAAAATCAGTACGTATATCTTCGATAGCTGGTGTGTCCTTCAGAGCATTACAAAAAGATTTACCTAGACTTTTAACAGGCTTATCGGCCAACGTCGGGATGGCTCTCCCTTCTATTGTGAAATAGTGTTTTACCACCCGGCCCTTTTTTATTACTACTGATCTACATTTGTTTGGATTGAAAATAGTTTTTCCATAATTCAAAACTAATTTAAATTGACTGGAAGGAGTTTTCGTTTTGAAATTGCTAAAATCGCTGATTGTAGCACCATTTTCAGCCACACTTCATCACGATGTAATTCTCGGTATTAAAAATTCTTTCAAAAATAAAATATACTTTTTCTTAATCTTTATTTGGAGAATATTAGTTGATTTAAAGTTTAATTATTTGAAACAAATATGGCTGACTTTAAGTTTAAAATCTCGCAGAAATGCATTTTTAACACAGCGGTTGCTGTTTATTTAAAGTAACGAGTGGTTGGCAGCTTGACTGACAGAAGAAAGTTTGTCTAATATTTTCTATGGTGGATATATCAGTAAAAATTACTTGAGAAACATAACATGGATGCCGTTTTATATAATTAGAACTACTCAGTAATCTTAAATATTTTTGAAAATATTCTTCGTAATGTTATGTTTTATTGAATTTTAGGTACATTGGCTTTAAATTTACAATACTTATTGCTCTTCTTTCCTCATAATGTCGTGTATGAACTTCCGTATTTACAAAATATACACACACAAAAAAAAGATATTTTGAAAATATTGAGGGTCGTTAAATTGTATTAAGCTTTTCCATTTATAATTAGTAAATATAGTTTTTACTTAATAACAACATCACTTAATCGAGACAAATTAATACAGTATTTTAAAAGATTTAAAACTTTATAAATTATTCTAATTAAAATTTTAAAAAATGTAAACAGTTCTTGTACAAATTTATAATTAATCGAATTTTTTTTCATAAACCAATAGTATACATAATATTTCTTATTTATAAAACCAATTAAAAGTTTTTCTGATTGAATAATCTCTTAGTTTAATTGCATTTTTTATTTTATGACTTAGAATAGATTTATGTAAATGAAGGGTCCTATTTTACAAAAACTAAATTAATGATTTAAATTCTCCAAGGAGTCCTGCTTTTAACTAATATAAACATTAAGGGGGTCAACATTTAATTTCTAGAAATTTCACAAAATTAAATATGTGTTGGGTAACATGATTTTCTAAAGAACAGAAAACATTTCTGATGTGGGCGCAAAGTCGGGACCACAGAAGGAAAACACGGAACACGGATTAGAGGTCAGAAAGATATATTAAACAAAAAGGTTACAAAGATAGTGTAAGTGTAAGCGGAGTTTTCTATGTGCTAGTGTCCAATATTGGTAGTCGTACGCGACTGATACTACGGTATTAGAACTTAGAGTGTTATATCGCATACTTTATATAGTCCTGGAAGAGTCCATGTTGTAGGTATGTTACGGTCTCACAACAATTTCTAAAATAATCTTATTCATTTATGAATAAGTTCTGAAAGTTTTATTAAAATCCGACAATTATTTGATATTTGCAAGCATTTCTAAATCAGTGTGTTTTTCAGTGCAAAGAAGACGCTAAAATTTCTTATACTAATATTCCCCACCCTCGCTGATGCAAAAAACGAACATTTCTAAAAATCAAAATTTCGAACGTTATAAAACGTATTAAAATATTATAATTTAATAATCAAAAAATATTTTCCTTTTGATAATAACAAATATTTTGATGATAAAACTTTGTTTTTAAGTTTAAGATATTTTTTTTTCATCATGGTCTGCTAATTTTATAGCGAATGTGGACGTACCTACTCGGTAGGTAAGTTAATGACGAGTGACTTTAGTACAACCATCGATAGAGGTCCAAACAGTTTTGTTTATCCAATTTTACTCACAACAACTGGCTCAACGTGTGATATGATTTTCGAGTTCTTCCCAATTGTATCTCACGCTCAATGTTACGTAGAAGTGATCTCCCTGAAAAATCGATTTTGTATTCCACACCACCCTTCATATCCACTTGAACTAATCTTTTTTGATCGCTTTGGAATTATTTTTTCTGAGCTCAAAATTATGAAGATATTTATCTATTCAATTAACATTAGTAAAGCACCCCACTGTGTGAATTGATAAAAAATGATAGAAAGTATTGTTTTATTCCCATAATTATTAATATTTGATTTGCGTTGAACGTTCTAAGACTGAGTTGAACATCTTTGGCACTGATCAGACATTTTCTGCAGTCTTTCATAAGGCTTCTGCCTCACCTAAGTGTTCGATCGTTGCAAAAGGCTGGGATAGGGGTAACTTTCTCTAAATGAAAACCATAATAAAGAGTTCGTCGAAAGTTATTTTGCATAGATAGATAATGAATCGTAATAGATTGATAGCGAACAGTAATATCTATCTATCTGCTAGTGTGTCTTCGGCTTTGTTAATTTAAGTATCTCTCTATATTTCTGAGATGAGGTATTGTGTACATTATTTATATTATTCGGACTATTGTCCTCATCTTTGTCGCTATACTTATTACAACGTTTCGGCCCTTCAGTATCTGTCTATATTTCTGAGATGAGGTATTATGTACACTATTTACATTATTCAGACTATTGTCATCATCTTTGTCGCCATATTTATTACAACATTTCGGCCTTTCAGTATCTGTCTATATTTCTGAGGTGAGGTATTATGTACATTATTTACATTATTCGGACTATTGTCCTCATCTTTGTCGCTATATTTATTACAACGTTTCGGCCGATGTACGCTCCGGTATTCTTCAGGTGATTCGAATGTCGAACTGAACCCTTTATTTCGCTCATTGGTTTCGCTCACTGGGGTAGACTGTTCTAGTTCCACGTGCCATGTTTAATTTTCCCCCTGAAAGTTCTCCACTGCCTTAACCGGGTATTGAACTCACACACTTTGGGTCCTGTCACTGGATCTAACCAACGCCTTTATCCACTGTGAGGACATCTCTGTATGAATTTCAGGGTATTATAAACCTAATGTCTTCAACAACTATTTTTACTAGTGCTCATATTGCAATTTTTTGCTGTTATCATTGCATGTTTTTACCATATTGCAACATTTGTTGTTACTATTGCTTTTCTCTGGCACTCCTTATTACTGGTTCCCATATTGTATTCATTTCTATGCTTGGTCGGCTCAGAGATTTTTGTGGCCTAGCATAACAGAAACACATAATCTTCGAAATCGAGAAAATATCTAACGAGAGAGATAGAGAGATATAGAGAGAGTGAGAGAGAGACAGAGAGAGTGAGAGAGAGACAGAGAGAGTGTGTGTGAGAGAGAGAGATAGAGAGAGGGAGAGAGTTGAAAAGTGCTCCGACCTACTTGCAAAAATTTTGTTGAATTATCAAAAGATTGAATTTGTATTTTATTTGTGGCTTGGTCGGACCGAGAACTTATCAGCTCTGTTTGTATTTTTCGAATTTTGGAATAAGGTGTTGTGTATTGTGTTCATAAAACAAAAGTGGAGTTTTCCTCTAAAGCTATTGATGAGTTGAATAACTGATTTGTTTTTGTAGATGTTTTGTGTGTTATCTAAAGTATGCAAATATTTTGGATTGCAAGAAGCATTCTTTTATTTTGCGAGTCAATGTTGCAATTATTTTGAGAATAACAATAATTTTTCCAGATATAGGTTCTAATATTTAACCTGTAGCTGGGAAAAGAAGAGAAATTCACATATTTCCCAAGGTTGTTTGAACGTAAGTGAATGTTAAGACTCCAGATATCGAAGAGGTGCCTGATTAGTGGTATGATGCCATTGCAAATATTGGGGAATATGTAATTGAATAAAATGTAATAGTACTTCATTTATTTAAGAATTAAATTGATAAACATAAACGGAAATTATTTTTACTCAACCTAATATCTATCTATCTATCTATCTATCTATCTATCTATTATCTCAGCCTTCTCTAATCTATCTATCTATCTATCTATCTATTCATCTATCTATCTATCTATCTATCTATCTATCTCTCAGTCTTCTCTCTCTCTCTATCTCAGCCTTCTCTAATCTATCTATCTATCTATTTATCTATCTATCTATCTCAGTCTTCTCTCTCTCTCTCTCTATCTATCTATCTATCTATCTATCTATCTATCTATCTATCTCATCCTACTCTAATCTATCTATCTGTCTATCTATCGATTTCTATCTCAGCCTTTTTTAATCTATCTATCTATCTATCTATCTATCTATCTATCTCAACATTCTTCTATCTATCTATCTATCTAGCTAGCTAGCTAGCTAGCTAGCTAGCTAGCTCAGCGTTCTTCTATCTATCTATCTATCTATCTATCTATCTATCTATCTATCTATCTATCTGTGCTCATCTATACATATGTATCTATGAGTCTATCTCCTGAACAAGTGAACCTCTCATTTCGATTCATTTTCTTTTATTTATTTCCATACATGTCTTCTTCAGCGGGACGCCATGGCGTTTTGTCCTCTTCCTTACTCTTTTCCTTTCCTTGTTCGTTGGCCTGTCACTCGCCTATTGCTTGACCACTGTCATTTGGCCGAACCACGGCATCATGTCTGTTTTAGCTGTCAGTCAGACAAGTCAATCGGAGACGTTTCTCCTTTGTCCCTGGGATTTCAGCCCATCCATCTTGTCTGTTCTATGCTTCTTACCGCCCAACTGTCCGTCAACATAAGCTCCAAGCCCTACGACAAAAATGGACAGTTACTCTCCCAAAGACAATTTCATTGGAGTCGCATTCTCACACATAAAAAAAAAACATATATGTGCGCATACACATGCGCTTCCTACTATCTATCTATCTATCTATCTATCTATCTAGCACTGTTTACTATCGATCTATTACGATTCATTACCTACTTACCTATGTATCTATTTATCTATCACTGTTCACTATCTATTTATTACGATTCATTATATATCTATCTATCTATCTATCTGCTAGTGTGTGTTCGGCTTTGTTAATTTAAATAACAGAAACACATAATCTTCGAAATCGAGCAAATATCTAATGAGAGAGAGAGAGAGAGAGAGAGAGAGAGAGAGAGAGAGAGAGAGAGAGAGAGAGAGTTGAAAAGTGCTCCAACTTGCAAAAATTTTGTTGAATTTCCAAAAGTTCGAATTTGTATTTGATTTGCGGCTTGGTCGGACCGAGAACTTTTCAGCTCTGTTTGTATTTTTCGAATTTTGGAATAAGGTGTTGTGTATTGTGTTCATAAAACAAAAGTAACACAATATAAAATTCAGACAGTTTATCCACAACTTCAAGCACAACTCCAAAATTACCCGAAAATTGTAAAAATATAACAAAAAATTTAAACAGGTTTTCGCTGTTATTTTAAATCAAACTTGTGTTGATTAATACTTACTGCTTAGATATACCTTTTATATATATATATATATATATATATATATATATATATATATATATATATATATATTTCAACGTCTGTAACATTTAATTTAAAAGAGGGCTCAATAGAAAGTCGAGAAATATTACTTATTTTAGGATATGACATCGAAAACCTGTAAAAATCGCTACACAATTGCAGTCGTGTTTTGAAGTGTATCAAATGCATCTCATCAGCCAATTGTAGATTAATGACGGCTGAACGATTTCTTTTCAATTATATGTTACGGACGTTGGAGTTGTACTTTATTTGTTCTCACCTTACCAGGTTCATCCACTTGTAAAAAAAGATTAAAAATAATGGGAGCTTTAATAATAAAAAAGAAAAAATTTTTTTAACAATATTAACTACGAACAAGGCCACAATGTGCTAACCGTATTCGGGAATTAAAAACATTCCTACTACACACTGACATACACATAATGCACACACTCAATTAAGCTGAAAAATCGAATCATCCTTGATAATGGCTAAAGGTATAGACGAAAGCGCACGGAAATATAAAATATTTGGACAGTTTTTAACACTCTTTGTCCAGAAAAGAAAGCTCTCGTTCGAATACAAGAAAAATTAGATAAAAAACTTAACCGTAGAACCTTGTCTGTCGTTTTTAATGAAACATGCATAAAGGAAGGATTGCTTCCTAAATATACAACTATATATATATATATATATATATATATATATATAGATAGATAGATAGATAGATAGATATAGATATAGATATATATAGGTAGATACATTAATGATTCCGCAAACTAATGACAAAAAACTTGTATTTTATACTATAAACATTTATTTTTCAAAATAACCTCGATGATTTTCAATGCACGTAATTCAGTGACAAATATTTTTCACCATATCTTGAAGGCTATGGAGTTATTTTTTCTGTAGCTGAGCTCAAAATTATGAAGATATTTATCTATTTAATTAATATTAGTAAGGCACATCACTGTGTGAATTGATAAAAAATGATAGAGACTATTGTTATTTTATTCCCATAATTATTAATATCTGATGCTAAAGGCTTTTGCGTAAAACCTTCTAAGACTGAGTTGAACATCTTCGGCACTGATCAATGCTAATATACATTTTCTGTAGCCTTTTATAAGGCTTCTGCCTCACCTGAGTTTTCACGTATTCTTCAATACAAAATCATTCTAAATCGTTCAAATTCAATGGCTTCTCTTTATACAGAGATCTTTTCGCTTCAGGCTATGAAATAATAGAATGGGTTTAGCTTAAACGAAGGCTACTGCAAACTTATATTCATTAAATATACTGAGGGGTTTTCGAAGCATGTTTCGGATCGTTGTCGGGTGAGAAGATGAAACGCAGACCAAGTCTAAACTGATTCTTCTTCTATGTACCCCAATCCCTTCATTGATGGATCTCCACACCTTCCTGCCCTTTGTAGCTCTTAGTAAAGTTTGTCGATTTGCTATCTCTCCTAACCCCTGTACTGCCAGCACAGACTCCTTATATATGTCACACGCTGCTCTCCTCTGTCCCTCATGCCTTCAATTTGTCCTGTGAGTGTCAAATTCTCCAAACCCATTTTCCTCATTATGTACACTAGCTATTTCAACTGTCTTTGACGCAACATATGTACCCGTTTCGTTTGAATTTTCGCTAAAAATTCGTCGTTACTCAGTCCATGTTATTCTCATCAGCTAGTTGTAGAACCACCTTTTGCTTCAAGTTTTTTCTTCATCTTCCAGTATTCACTACCATATAGGAGGACCGATATTACATAAGAGTTCAGCAAGCTTTTCTTTCTTTCTTTTGCCTCAAGTCTCTTCTTCATCTGTGGGGAGATTGTCTTGCATTCACTAACATATAGGAGGACTGATATTACATAAGAGTTTAGCACACTTTTCTTTGTTTCAGTTGCCTCAAGTCACTTCTTCATCTGTGAGGAGAGTGTCCAGTATTCAATACTATCAGGTCATCCCATAAGTTCTGTCCGAATTTTAACTTTTTGTTAAAATGAACGAAATTTAAAGAGTATTTTATAATGTCTAATGGAGCTGGACATTATTTCTATGTTTAGATGCATTTAATCAGATCAAATTCTATTTCAGAGAACAATAAAATTAAATTTTGTTTGATTAAAACCCTGCTAACATGGAAGTACCCAAGAATCATTTGAGGTACATAATTCTTTATGAGTTCAAGAAAGGAAACTCAGCAGCCGAAGTGGCTAGAAACATTCACTCAGTTTATGGAGAGGAATGTGTGAATGAAAGAACTTGCAGAAGATGGTTTGCAAAATTCAGAGGTGGAGATTTCACTCTTGAAGATGAAGATCGAACCGGACGTCCAGTTGAGTTTGATGAAAAGCTTCTTGAAGCAGCCCTTGAAGAAAATCCTGCTTTATCAGTTGAAGAATTGGCAGTGGTTCTCAGTTCAAACCATACAACTGTTCATCGTCATCTTCCAACAACTTGGAAAAGTTCCTAAACTTGGAAAATGGGTGCCTCATGAATTGTCTGAAAACAACCTCAAATCCCGAGTTGACATCTGCTCTTCTCTCCATTCTCGCCAACTTGTTTCACCTTTTATGGATAGACTTGTGACTGGCGATGAAAAATGAATCTTTTATCGAAATGTTAAGCGTCGTAGACAGTGGCTTGGTAAAGGGGAAGGACCCCAGCCACAGTCGAGAAGGGGACTTCATGGGCAAAAGGTTCTTCTTTCAATCTGGTGGGATCGCCAAGGAATAATCCACTTTGAATTCTTACCACCTAATGCAACAGTTAATGCTCAAATATACTGTCAGCAATTAGAGCGTTTGACCCAAGCTTTGAGGAAAAAAAGACCTGGTCTAATGAATCGAAAAGAGGTGGTGTTTCATCAGGACAATGTGCGATACCACGCAGCAAGAATCATGTCACAAAAGATCGAAGAACTTGGTTGGGAGAAAATTCCTCATCCACCTTATTCTCTCGATCTTGCTCCTTCAGACTACCATTTGTTTAGTAGCTTACAGAATCATTTGGAAGAAACAGCTTTTGTAAAACAGGAAGAGGTTAAAACTGACATTTGTAAGTTCTTTGAATCAAAGCCAAAAGAATTTTACAGTAATCGAATTAGTAAGCTTGTTAAAAGATGGAAAGATGTCATAGATAATCAGGGAAAATACAGTGTTGATTGAATCTGTAATTAAATGTAACATTTGGTCACTTGTTTTCTTTATTCAAAATTCGGACAGAACTTATGGGATGACCTGATATATAGGAGGACCGATATTACATAAAAGTTCAGCGCCGTCTTTGTCTCTGTTGCCACAAGTCTCTTCTTCATCTTTGAGGAGATTATCCAGCATTCTCTTCCATATAGAAAGACCGATATTACACGAAAGTCCAGCACATTTTTCTTGCTTCATCTCTTCTTCAACTGTGAGGAGATTGTCCAGCATTCACTACCACATAGGAGGACAAAAATTACGCAAGAACTCAGCACCCTTTTCTTTGTTTCAGGTGCCTCAAGTCTCTTCTTCATCTGTGAGGAGATTGTCCAGCATTCAATACCATATAGGACCGATATTAAATAAGAGTTCAGCATCATTGCCTTTGTTTCTGTTGCCTCAAGACCGATAGAACATAAGGTTTCTGAACACTTTTCTTTGTTTGTGTTTTCTCAAGTCACTTCTACATCTGTGAGGAATTTGTCCGAGATCCAATACCATATAAGAGGACTAATATTACATAAGAATTCAGCACCCTTTTCTTTGTTTGTGTTACCTCAAAACTCTTCTTCATCTGTGAGGAGATTGTCCGGCATTCAATACCATATATAGGAGGACCGATATTAGATAACAGTTTAGCGCCCTTTTCTTTGTTTCTGTTGTCTCTAGTCTCTTCGGCATCAGTGAGGAGATTGTCCAGCATTGACTACTATATAGTAGTACCGATATTATATAAAAGGTGTGCACACTTCACTCTGCTTCTGTTGACTCAAGGCTCATCTTCATCGGTGAGGAGAAATTCCAGCATTCACTACCATATCGGAAGACCGATATTGCATAACAGTTCACTGCCCTTTTCTATGTTTCTCTTGCCTCAAGTCTCTTCTTCATCTGTGAGGAGATTGTCCGGCATTCACTACCATATGGGAGGACCGATATTACATAAGAGTTTAAAGGCCTTTTTTTGTTTCTGTTGACTCAAGTCTCTCCTTCGCCTGTGAGGAGATTGTCCGGCATTCAATACGAAATAGGAGGAACTATATTACATCAGAGTTCAATACCCTTTTCTTTGTTTCTCTTGCCACGGGTCTCTTCATCTGTGAAGAGATTGTCCAGCATTCACAGACATATAGGAGGACCGATATTATACAAGAGTTCAGTACACTTTTTTGTTGTTTCTATTGCCTCAAGTCTCTTCTTGTCCTGTGAGGGATTGTCCAACATTCACTACCATATAGAAGGACCGATATTACATAACAGTTAAGCACCCTTGCCTTTCTCTTTGTTGCCTCAAGCATCTTCTTTATCGATGAGGGATTGCAACATTTACTACCATATCGGAGGACCGATATTACATGACAGCTCAGCATGCTTTTCTTTGTTTCTGTTGACTCAAGTCTCTTCTTCAAATGTGAGGAGATTGTCTGACATTCAATACCATATAGGAGGACCGATATTGTATAACATTTCAACGCTCATTTCTTTGTTTCTGTTGTCTCAAATCTCTTCTTCATTTGTGAGGAGATTTTCCGGCATTCAATACCATATAGGAAGTCCGATATTACATAACAGTTCTGCACACTTGCCCCTGTTTCGGCTGTCTCAAGCCTCTTTTTCATTGGTGAGGAGAAATTCCAGCATTCACTACCATATCGGAAGACCGATATTACATAACAGATCAGCACCCTTTTCTTTGTTTCTGTTGCCTCAAGCCTATTCTTCATCGGTGAGGTATTCCAACAGTCAGTACCATATCGGAGGACTGATATTACATAACAGCTCAGCATGCTCTTCTTTGTTTCTGTTTACTCAAGTCTCTTCTTGTTCTGTGAGGGATTGTCCTACATTCACTACTATATGGGAGGACCTATATTACGTAAAGGTTCAGCAACCTTTTCTTTGTTTCTGTTGCCTCATGTCTCTTCTTCACCCATGACGAGATTCGCCAGCATTCACTACCATATAAGAGGACCGATATTACATACCAGTTCATCACCCTTTTCTTTGTTTCTGTTGCATCTAGTCTCTTCGTCATCTGTGGGGAGATTGTCCAGAATTCACTGCCATATAGGAGGACCGATATTACATAACATTTCGTATTCTTTTACTGGATAGAAGAAGGTAATATTTTTATTTATTTGGTACGTATATCCTGATATTTTAGTGAATCCATTTTCTCTTCGACCTTTACGAATTTCTCGACAGGTGCTGTACTTCAGCAGCCCCATACAATAGATACATTCACCTTTGGCTAGAGGCACACGTATAGTAATCATGCGATTCCTAAAGGTTATTTTTGACATTCCCGCTTCCTACATTTACTCTGATCTGTGTCGTGGATGTCGTCGAGTCTGACGGCTACGACTTCAACAAAGCGTTGATATTGGCGAGCGTTTCTAGTAAGTGTCCATTCAGAGCCTGTTCTACGCGTTTAGGAATGTTAATTTGACCAGCGTTCAACACAGAAGCACCAGAGACACGTCAAAACCTACACGTCAAGCAGTTCTCCGAAATGATTATGCAGCTTCTCTATTACTCACAGTTCGAGCCCCTCTGAAACGGCTCTAATTGAACGAAAGAAGCAAGTGTACGTTCATGTTACATGACGCTTCAATGTGTAAATTGATCGTACTGGATCTTATTGTAGCATGAGTCACTGTGTGAAGATCAAACACAGATGGTGTAGTGGCATGAAGTTTGTTACATCACAAGATGCCTAAAGAATATGAAGTTTTAATCAGAATATCTGTACTACTTAGGATACTGTTTCCAGGCCAAAATAAGTGTTACTCCGTTTCTTTCATTATTCTATAGGTAGATTATTTTTGGTTAGTATTATACTAGTTGTTAAAACCTAGGGAAGGTTACTGAATAGAATAATCACACGAAGGTTGGTAATGAACGATAATACTTAGGACAAGACCAACACATATAAGATTCGCCAGCGGCGCGTAGAAGTAGTAGTCAACTGCTAGAAGTGAGTCAACTGAATTCCACAATGAATCTCCTACTGCAGGTTATCTACCAAGTATATATATATATATAATTTATTCGAAAATTATAACAGAAATATGTTATAAAATAACTTCAAAAACAGACATATTTTTTCAACACTTCTGGTGTCTTATCAAGTGATGGTGTTGAATGTAGTTTAAAGGTTTTAAAAGGTTGAAATCAATCAAACACTTCCGCTAGGGGAAACACTGTTACATAAGCTGGAATGACCAATCAAAATACAAGTATATGAGAATTCAAAAAACTTGACAACGAACTTTGGTTATTATAATTAATGTCTTAATGTTAATGTTAGACTAAAATAAAAATCATTCTAATGAATATTAAATTTTACAATAAAAATGAAAAGTAAAAATTACCAATTTTAAATTTTACATTTAATCTGTATTATGTTACAATATACTTATATTATATTATAAAATTATTTAAAGAAGATACAGAGGAAAAAAATATTTTATTTATTTTGTTGAAAGGCCAAAAACGTTAAAAAAAAACGTTAAAATCTAATATGGATGTAAAGCTTTTAATTTTAATTTTCGAATAAATAATTATATTTGCTCTACTCTGTATTGAGCAGTCTTTTAAGAATAGTAGTTTTTGGTTATTGGAATTTATTCCGTATACACCACTCTTATACTTGTATGAAACATGATCGCCCAAGTGCGTATCACGTATGGCACTTAACTGACTGAAACCCTTCAATAATTTTTTGGGCATTGTGGACGGCGCGTA